GCACAGTATTCATCATCGTAGGTCTTGATTATATGAGTAAAAAAAAGTAATTAATTCTTGTGAGAGGTTAAAAAGTGGACTTCGAAGCTATTTTTACAATATACCTTAGAAAAAAAATTTCTTTTTTGTATAAATAAATAATGACCTTAAAACTTAACAATGTATGATTACTTCTTAGTTCTATATATGAATCACTTGTCTGTTAACGATTAAATTTTCTTATCAATGATGTATTGGTTATTAAGGAAAAAATTTCTTCTGACATCTTTTAGTATTATTATGTGTAACACGAAAGAGCCTAGAATGTATATAACATACAATATAAAAGTAATAAGAGAAAGTGTCGACCTTTATTTCTATCTACAAGCATGTGCTGGAAGAAAAATGTTTTTCTTATTCAAACGTTTGCTTATGATTTATTTTTGTCAAACATTTGTTAATAAAATGAATCGAGAAAAAATAAATATTTACGTACACAATATGTCCTTGTAAAGCGACAGTTATTTATAACATATTTTCGTAGTTTATATAGAAAATTGCAAAAATTATTTGCGCAATTATTTCTCTCATTTCTTGTTTCATTTTACTAATAAATATGTGACACATAGAAATGTATATGAGACTCTCTGATCTCGGTTGTTAAATCGTCTATTTCTGAAGAAAGATTCGATTAGCTTATTCTTGAAAAGAAATATTTTCTGTATAAAAAAAATAGGATTATTCCGAAAATTATTTGATTATTGTTAGTTAAGTTAGAGTGTAATTACAACGCGATCGGGGGATTGATGTCAATAGAAAAGCTTGTCTTCATTTTTCAGGCTACAAAAAAAAATACAGGAATCGCAATAGATTTGTTATCAAGGAAAATAATTTCTCTATCGTAGTTGAGTTTTCTTTGATTTTCTCTTTTCATAATATATATTTGATTCTTGAACTAAGATCAGGAAATTCCGTGCTCATCTATCAAGACAAATATAACTTGATATACTCTATTCGAACTAAGAGAAAATTTCCTATTAACTCATAAAAAAATTTCCTTTCAGCATGTATTTATATCCGGATGGGTATTTCTGTCCTATTACTTGTCATGCTATAGACAGAAGTATCAACTTGCAGATAGTACATCTCAATGTTATCTGTCATTATAGCTATTTCAAATGGATCCAAGATGAGATATATATGTATATATTAAATATAACAAGCACATAGAGCACGCCCATCTTTTCCCGTTGCTCGGCTCTTCTAAAAGTCTCATTGTATATTTACATGTCATTTAGAATAGTGATACAACATTTATCATGTGCGTTTTAAATTCTCATAAGAACATTTTCGTATTATGTTTTTACATTATTTGTTATGAGCATCGGAGAACTTAACACTTTCAGATCGTATTCTAATCAACTTATTGCATTAATTTTAATAGATTACTTTTCTGTATTGGAGATGTAAACGGAGAAATTTTTAATATTTTTACAGAAATAATTAAAAACTGTTTTTCATTGAATATCATTTTGTCAGTGATAAAATCATGCAGAATAAACTTTTTCATGTCCCAAATCCAAATGAATGAAATACGACTGACCTATTGCTTTTTACTCGCTTAGTTATCATGACAAAAATTTTTCTTCTTCTCGATGCATTAGTCAGCTGCTCGTTCTTCACACTTAATCATCATTTCGAAAAGCAAAAACATTTACTGAGATCATGAGAATGTGACAAGTGTTCATCTAAAATTCAATTTTCAAAAACTCGATGGCTACAAAATAGAATAGACCACTGATATTTCAAATGTTATATGCAATATTTGTCTACGATTCATTATTTTTTAACTTATCACCTAAGCCAAGATAACTGAAATTCACTAAGATTTATTCGGGTGTGGTTGTTTTCTATACTGAGGCACACCCCCATCCTATTTATTAGGGGTAGTATTTTTAGAAAACAACATTCTCGAATAGTTGTCTAAAGGACTAGCGAAAAAAAACTTTTGAAATGCTTCTTGTTATATTCGAAATAAATTTTACCATCATTTTCTCTTTGTGTTTGCATAGGAAATTTCTTTCTCAATTGATGACATAATGTTTTAACTTCTTGTTGACCAGTAAGAAAAACAAGAATGCCACCAGATGGTAATTGTCGATGAATTTTACAAACTTTTTTATAAACTTCATTAATATAATTTTTTGGTGTATGTTTATTAAAATGTTGTGTAACTGGATATTGTCTTGCATCAATATTAATAATTTTTGGTTTTAATTTAAATAAATGTCTATTATTAATAAATTCTTCAATACGCATTGTAGCTGACATAATAACAAGACGAAGTGGATCATTTCGTCGACAACGTATTGGTACAATACGTGATAATAAACCAATTAATACATCTGTTGCAACACTACGTTCATGTGCTTCATCAATCAATATACAACTATAATTCGTTAATAAAAAATCATTTTGAACTTCCTTTAATAAAACACCATCAGTCATAAATTTAATACATGTTGTTTCTTTTTTATATGTACCTTCATAACGTATTTGATATGATACTTGACTAGAAAAATGTAAAAATAATTTATTTAGAACAAAAAAAAAAAAAAACAAAGAACTAACTCATTTGTTAAATTTAATTCATGTGCAACACGGGATGCCATCGATATAGCAGCAACACGTCGTGGTTCAGTTATACCAATCATTTTACCATCAAGAGTATAACCAGCTTCATAAAGAAATTGAGGTAATTGAGTTGTTTTACCACTACCTTAATTGAATGAAAGAAAAAATAAAGTTCTTAAATTTTGTATTTTTGATTTAAAATTAAGATCATTTTCTGTCCTCTAAAAAACTTAAAATTGAGATAATTGCATAGGAACAAAATTCGAAGTCTACTCTTTCATAAATGATTCCTTAATAAATTTATGAAAGTTTTATTTCTAAACTTTATTCGATATAATTGCAGATATTCTTCGATTATCTAATAATCAATACTTTTCATCGTTACTTTCTTCATATTAAAAGCTGGTTCCTTTTTCATAGGTCTAAGTTATTTCTTGATGACTTGAAGCTTTCTAAAAAATTCCATACGATCAAGCTTTATATGCTTCATAAATAATATCTTTCCTGTAGAATAGTTTATTTTTCTGTATGAAGAGGCTGGTATATTGATGATATTTGAACAATATTCAACAGTTCTATTAAAATTTTTTATGTACTAATAACAAATACAACATTCTTGATGAACTGATATAAATAACTCGTTTATAAACGGAAACATTTTTTTGGCCTTTGTATCCCTGGCGGAATATAGCAAGATGACTATAGGGAAAGAATCTATAATTTCTTTTTCAAATTCTTATTCAGAATATTCATATTTAATTTATACATGAAATTCTACAATAATCTATAAATATCTTATGTTCATTGCAAAAATAATTTTTTTCATATTTCCGTACTTCCTTTCAGGAATCCGGAAGTTAAAAACTTATTTCCATTCATAAAAGAGTTATTTATATCAATTCATCAGAAATATAGTATATACTTAAGAAAAGAAATCAGTTTTATATACGAAGAAAATAGCGATGAAAAACTATTGATTATAACAAATCAAATGTTAGAAATAGGGAGTGAATGGTCTTAATGTAGAATTCTTTACCAGTTTCTCCACAAATAAGAACAACAAGATTATCATGAATAGCTTCCATAATAGCCTGTTCTTCAGTAATAATAGGTAATTGTGAACGTATTGCTTGAATTTCTTCACTGCGTTCAACTTGAACATTAGCATGTGGTCGAGCTGGAATATCTACTTTAGTTTCTTCAACACTACTTGTACTACTTTCACGTTGTCGTCGTTTAATAGGAGGCGGAGGAATAGGTCCTGTTGTTGATGATGATTGAGAAGGAAATAAAGCTTTACGAATGTCTTCATCATTAATAGTTTCATCATCATCGTTTGAACTTGATTCTGAATCACTGAATAATATAAAAAAACTTAACTTATTATTAATATAATCTTGTGACTAACTAACTTTTGAATTATTTCTGTAGATATTTGAGCTGGACGCTTTCTAGAACGTTGATTAAAATTAATCAAAGTAGAAGAATTCGTTGTTGAAACTTGAGTATTAATCGGTTGACTGAATAAAAATAATAGAATAAAAAAAAAAAGCAACATAATATTTTAGATTTTAAAATTACCGTTTAGTTTTGCTACCGATATTTTTTACTGAATGAAGTAGAGCTAATTCATCAGTTGAAATTTGTATTTGTCCTAGTTTGTCAAGTAATTCAACTCTCTATGAAGAAAAAAAAGAAAAAGTTAAAATTCACATCAACTTATGAATTCTATTTGTTTACTTTAGCTTTTTTCTTTTTAACATCGAGCACTTTTTCCAGACGTTTACGCTCTTTTTTTGATAATTTACGCTTGTTGGGTGTTGTTGTTTGACTAACAGAATGAGTTACTCGTTTTTTTGATGGCAAAATTGAATTATTGTCAGCTGTTGTCGTTTCTCCTTCAACAATAACCTGATTGAAACAAAAATTGTATGAAAAAAAGTGAACGAGTGAAAAATCGAAAAAAAATACATTTGTTGATGGATTTTGTTCAATAACAATTTTTTTTTGTTGACGACCTTTTTTATTAAAACGACGTGCTAAACGAGATGGTTTCATCTATAAATTAAATATGTCTATGCCATATGCTAAAATATCTTGAACTGTTTTGTTTTGTTTTGTTTTTTTTTTGCTTTATCTTTTCTTTAAAAACATAAATCAAACAAAGGCACATATACATAAAAATACTGATGAAAAAAACAAAAGCACACATTTATCAACAAGAAAAAAAAACCGAAACAAACAATCATAGATGAAAATGAAAAAACGAAGTGCGTGAAATTAAAACGAAGGAATGAAATTATACAAATTGTTGTTTATTATATCATCTGACATGTTGATATTGATCAATCAATAGGAAAGAATATAATGAAAACATTGGTTTTTATCTATGGTTTTTTCACTGTATTTTCTGTTACTTGAGCGATTGTTAATACTTTTTCACCAGCTCCTTTCGTTAATGTTATTGTTGGTGTTGCCTTTGGCGAAGAACCAGTTATTTGTGTTGTTGATCCTTTGCTTTTAGGCTTTTGTCGTGCTGCCATTTCTTGTAAATGTTTACGCATTTCATCTTCGAATGAATCTATTGTTGGTTTTTCACGCCAAAATGTAAATGATGAATAAGCTTCACTTGCAGAAAATGAATCCATTGGAGGAAATACTTGATCAACTACTTCATGTAAATTTTTATATCTTTAAAGAAAATCGAACAACATTTAAAAAAGAATATATATAAGATGAAGAAAAGGAAATCTTAACACATACGAAGTACATAATAATTGAGATAATTTTTGTCGAACAACTTCACCACGAGGATTTATTGTAAATATACGAGTTTCTGGTATTCCAACAGCTGTGTATGCCGATTGATCCTTTAAAAAGATTTATAAAATAATATAAGACTTTTGAAATAAATATTGTTTGGTAAAAAATCAACATATCTCATTACTACTATCATAGTTCTCTATGAATTAATAATCTTAAAGATTTCAGAGTACTCGAAATGATCAATATGTTTCAAATTTCAAAAATTCTTACATTTAATCGATTACCAAAACCAGCATAAAATGGATTTTTATTTGGAAATAAACTTGCAATATTTTTTAAACATTCAATTTTAAAATCTTCAGGTGTTCTTGTAATTACTTCTCTATAAAGAAAAACCAAAGCAATTCATCATTATAAAAATTTCTATTTCTCTTATTAAATACACAAACCTATAAAGCGCAGTTACTAATGTATCAGGTGAAATAAGTAATGGACCAATGGGTAATGCAAAATTACATTGTTTAATGCTGCGTAAAAATTCTCTTGTTACTCGACTTTGTCCAATAGCACGAGCAGATAAATAAATAAATTGATAACCATTTTCTTGAATAGCCTGAAAAAATTCTGCAATACCATCATGTGACCAATCTTTACCAAATAACGGCAAAATATGACCAAAAACATCAGATCTTGAATAAATAGGACATTTTTTTTTAAATAAAATAATTGTTTTTGTTCTATAATAAAACTTTACCTTGTTATAGTACCATCAATATCTGATATAACAAATTTTGTATTATGATCAAAAAAGAATATATTTGCTTCGACAAGTGTTGTACCTTGTAAAGCTGTTGTAACACTAAATTCAACTTGATTTATACCACTTTTAAGATTAAGTCGTTTTAATTGATCCGATGTAAGAATCATAGTTTTCTTTTTTGTTGAAGTATAATTTGTATTTGATTGTTGACTTTGTATTTTATCTGTTAGTTTGCTTACTTCATGATCTTCTTGTTCACTATCATTACTATGAAAAAAAATTATATATATATATATAAAACCTGAGATAAAAACAAAAAACGAAATAAATAACTTACGAATGTTTTCGAATAGAATTTTGACTTTGTAACATTGTTGGAACAATTTCAGATTTAACAACTAAAGCCAATGCTTCTGATGTTGTTGATGGAGTAGTTTCACTTCTTGTATTAGACTATTAAAAAAACGACATAGAGAAAACCTTTTAAGTATAAAATTTTCTCTTTACATGTCTACTAGAAAATGGCCAATAACTAATACCACTTGTTGTACGTGGTGTAGTTGGTGTCATATGTTTATTTTGTAATTGTTCAACTGTTTCAGGTGGTAATCGTTTATGATAGACACTAGCTGAAGCAATAAGTGCTGAAGCAACATTCCAATTATGATATCTAAAAAAAATTTTTTTCTTTTTTCTTTTTTTGTATATTTAATTTTACATACTTTCCACCAATGCGTACAACTAAATTTGAATCATTGATAATTGATGGATTATTAGCAAATTTTTCATATGAAATAAGATGTGCATTAAATATATTATCTGTAATCAATGATGGTTTATCAATATTTCCACATAATGAAAGTTGTACATCACCGAGAAGATAACTAAAATAAAATGAAAATTTTATCTTTTTTGTGTACTCAAAAAGTGAGCTCACTCTAGAATCGGGCAGTGTGTCCGGCCGTCCGTCCGGCCGTTAACACGATAACTTTTGAAAGGAGAGTCCAATCGCGATGAAATTTTCTACACAGTTCAGTCTTAACAATGTCTCGGTCGAGTTCGAAGATGAGCAGGATCCGTCAAGAAATGGCTGAGTTATCGAAAAAATTGTCATTATTGAGAAGACCATCCCTGAGGGGGGGTACAGGGATTTTTTCAAAAAAAAAATTTTTTCTCAGAATTATTCACAACATATATAAATCGACTCAGTTTTTAACGCTGATTCCGAATCTGATATTAGTTTTGAACCAAATCGTAGCTTTCTAACAAAACATCCCATGAAAAATGTCTCAAAATGCAGAAAAACTGCATGCAAAAAGCAAATAGGCTAAATATGGCTCAGTTGATAGAAAACAGTGAATATATCTCTTCACTTTTCGCAGTACACATAACACTCGGATTTAAATCCGAGGTTTTCGCATTTATTTGATATTTAAAAATAAAGAATATAAAGCAAAAAAAGAAAAAAACATTTTCTACATACGAAGTTTCATATTCTCGAACTGGAGAATTTGGTATTGAATTGCCTGTTCCTGATTCTTGATCATCATCATTTGGAGTTCTTGGTTGATTAAGATGATAATCCCTAATTTAATTAAATATTTATTTTTATCAAAAAAAAAAAAATAAAATAAAACTTACATTTGAGGTAAATAACGTGAACGATCATCACATTTATTATTTGTAATATCATCAAGATATATTCCTTCTTTAGGTGTAACTTCTTTTGATGATGATGGCCATAAATATCTAAATACACTTCGTCTTTGTTCAGGAAATTCACCCCATTTCCATTGCCATACAGAACTTCTTCGATTATTTCTTACTGTTTGTTGTGATGATTTATCTAATTCATATTCTGTATCAGATTGTGGACTTAGTGGTCGAAGAGACATAGAACTTATAAAATTATTTTTTTTTTTTTTTTTTAAATAAAATTTTCAAAAAAAAAATATAATATACTTTTCAAATGCTGATGATGGTGAAAAATCATCATTTAAATAAAATGATGTTGAATCAGTTGATTGAGTCAATCGAATTGAAACAGTATTATCATTAGTTATTGGTGCTGATTGAGAAAAAAGTGTATTTACTATTGAATTCGATTCATTTGTAATTGGTGATGTATCATTTACTATTGGTTTTTGTTCAATTGGTATTGGATTTGATAATGTTCTTATAGTTTTGTCATAATTTTCTTCATTATCATTATACTCATCTTCTAAACTACTATTATAAGTTTCATCATCATCATCATCATCATCATTATCTATTCCATTAGATGTTTTCGGTGGAATAATTAATAATTTTTTTCGACTATCAATACTATTCATTCTACTATGTGCATCAACAAATGGTGTAGATGATGTTGATTGTTTGTCATCATCAATTTGAAATAAAAGCATATCATTTTCACTAGCACTATGTTTACGTGAAAGTTTTAATGATGAATCTGTTTGTTCATTATTTCTATGATCTGTTAATTTATCATTCATCGATATAGATGTTGAAGCACGTTGACGTAGATGTGATTGATTTTGATTTGATGAAAATATTTTTTCTATTTCTTGATCTTCATCTTGAATTAAATCTTTAGTTGTTTGTTCATTATGATTTGTTGTTCGTCGTTTTTGACGACGACGATTTGATATAGATACATCATCATCATCATCATCAATTGATGATATTAATGGTTGTTCATATGCATATTTTGCTGTTGATTCATTATTTTCATGTGCTTTTTCTTCATCAAGTTGTTTATTAATGATTTGTGGTGAACAATCAATATTTGATAATTGAGGATAAAAATCTGTTAATATAGCACTATCAGGATCAAGAAATGTATTACTATCCGATGGTTCTAAATGACGACTTGGTGAAAGATTTTGTGTAGTCTAGAAATCGAATTTTAATTTTTTGTTTTGTTTTATTAAAAATAAAAAAATAAAAAGCTTTACAGTTTCTTCTTCAATAAATAGAGCTTCTCCAGCTGCACCTAATTCCATATATAAATCTTCAACTGGATTACCATTTATAGTTATATATACCTTTAAAAAATAATAAATTAGATAATTTAATTAAATACTTTATTTATTTACCTTATTCCGTTGATTTCTTAGAACACCTAATTTACCAAAACGAACATGAAATGGAGTGCAACGAAGTGTTTCATCTTCTTGTTTAACAACAATAATATCAATTGCACCGGTAAGTGTGGACGGATTAATATTGTTGTAAACCGATTTAAGTGAGCCAAATATACGATAGAATGAAGTCATTTTGACTTCGATTTATTTTTAATAAATATATACCATTTACAAGTGGTACTAAAACGAAAAAATTAAACAAATATAATACTAATAATGATTTGTTTTTTCTTATTAACACCAAAAAAAAAAACAGGTAGCAATAAAAAAGAAAAGATTATATTATAGATGAAAATAACATTTATACGATACAATTATTCATTGGTACACAAAAACATATTGCTTACTGCGTACATTTGTTTTTCATTTTTTTTCTCATTCATTCGAGTAAGGGAAAAAAAATACTACAAGAAAAGAAAGTATTAGTAGACCCTATGTTTATGCTATCTACGAGTGCAAATAGATAAAGGAATGGATATGCTAGAGGTTTGTATGTAGATATATTGCACACAAACGTCTATGATCGATTACACGATTAATAATGGCGTCATTACTTTTCTAGTTGTAACGAGAGAAAGAAAGAACGGAAAAAGAAAAGAAGTAAAAAATGTTCTGCGCACCAGACGGCACACCCCTCGTTTTTTATTGTTGTTTTTGTTTTCTGATAGTGAAAAAATGAAGCGCGTGATTCGTAGTGGTTAAATGTACCTTGTGATTAAGCACATATTGAGGAGGTGTGAAACTGATGGCGTGATGCGTAAAAAGAAATATTTACAATCAGTATTGGAAGAAAAAAAAAAAAACCCAAACACACCATATGAAAGCACCTAAAAAAATGTCCTTCAAAATTCTGCAATTAAAAAATAAGTTCATATCTTGAAGATTATAAATTATCATTTACAATAGAAAATTGTTTATAAGAATAAAACAAATATTTTATCTTTTATTTTTTAACATCTTTGTCTTATCACAATAATATAGAATTTACATTAGATAATTAAAATGACCCCAATTGTTTTCTTTCGAGACCCTTGATGATAAAGTTTATTTTCTTGTGATAAAAAAAAAATAAGATTGTATGATATTAAATATATCTCAAACATTGAAAACGAATATCAGGAACATATTTGCTTTTAAATCAATGTAGAGAAAAAAGGAATAAAAGTGTCGAGTGGATGTTTTTTTATAATGAGAAAAAGACCATACTTTTACATCGTCGTTTAACTTTATACATCGCACATTAAATAATTACAATAGTGTAGAATTTAAAAGTTAAATTCAATGGAAATACTTTTGAAATTTCAAGTTTAAATTAAATTGTAATACATAAGAAAAAAATTCAACTCCTTCCTCTTATTATCCTTTCGCCTTCGCCCTCAAGTTGTAAAGGTTATAAAGCATAGAACATTGCGCATATGGAGGTTATTTTGCTTTGTTCCCACAACTAAAACTACATCAAAAGAAGAAGAAAAGAACTAACAACAAACGTGTTTTGTTTATCAAGTTATAAACAATTTCTAAATGTCGTCTTTCGAAGGTGTAAAATGTTAATCTATATAACAATAGTTAATCTTAGTTAAATTAAAAGCATTTATTTTTTTTTAGCGAAAAATATTTATCAAAAGCTAATTTATTTTTTATAGAATTCCACTTACGTGTTACAATATCGTCCATAGTTTTGCTTATTTATAGAATAAACGCAACCATTTATAGTAATACTAAATAGTATTTAACGACTTATATCTTATTATCAGTAACAGACTAAGTTATCGTTGACATACACTTCATTTATTATTACGCATGAAAAAGAAAGTTGTTCTATATACTAAATAAATAAGAACCAAATGTTAAATTAATTGTTTTTGATTTTCATATAAGAACCTTTACAAATTTATTTCCTTCATTGGTTTAATTAGATATTTTATTTAATTATAAAACAACTAGAGAATATAAAAATAACATGTTTGGTTACGTATAGATAACAACCTTTTTTGCGTTTTTTTATTATGTTAACTGATTAGAATAAGTTATTATAACGTTTGATGTTTTTATAGACATAATCTTTTACGATTCTAACCAAACTATGAAATATATTTCAGTGAATACGAATGGAATGATGATTGAATCAAAAAATGTATAGATTTAAAAGCATTTTTCTCTGATACTCAAAGAATTTAATTATATTATTCATTGATATAGCGTCATGAATCTCGCAATTATTTAGGCGTAACGAATAGCGGTATACTTATGTAATTAGATTTTTTATATAATGGATGTAATTGTAGATCGACTTATTTTCTTTTTCGATATATATATATAGAATTTTATCTTTTATGAATGTAATCGAATTATTCAACAACCGAGATTATATACAAAAAATTTAATAAGTTTAAAATCAAAAAATTGTTAATTATTCTATCTAAATTTAAATATGTTCTTACCGATGTTTACAAATTATTCTATTCATTGTGAACTGTTTTTAATAGATGAAAAACAATAATTTCAATGTATCTAAAAATCTTCAAAAATTCAATTTATCTTTTAATCAATTCATTTTTAATTTTATCCAAAAGAAAAGAAACAAAAACAAATTACAATTTTAATTAATCAAAAACAAATAAAAAAAATGAACAAATTAAAATTTAGTCTTTTTCATTTTTTTAATGATTCATAAAGAACAATTGCTGCTGCAAGATCTTCAATAGCAATACCAACAGATTTAAAAATTGTTATTTTTTCATTAGATATTTCATTACAAAATTTATCATTTTGAATTAATTCACCTAATTCAGCTATGATTTTAGTCTAAATTAAAATAAGAAAATAAAATTTTACAATAGAATATAAGACAAACTTTTGATTGAATTATTTCGCCTGCTTCTTTCATTGCACTTTCTTTACTATCAACAATAACATTTGTATCTGATGATAACATAAGATCATCAGCTAGTTCACGCATTGTTGCACGAAATGAACCAACAGCTAAAATAAACTTTTAAAATTATTATTTAAACTTCTTTAAGGAAACTACCACCATCAGAAAAGTTAATTTTTTAAGTAACACATAATTTCGAGATTTATATATATATATATATTCTAATAGTCCTTTCAATGAACTCTAAACTGGCATGATTTTCTTTTATCAAAAAAAAAAAGAAGATTAGGTTTTTTGGAAGAACGTCCGAATGAGGAATATAAACTTTTGTATAGATCTTCATGATGCTAAATTGATTAGGCATATTTGGGGTGTGGCCTGCGGATAGAATAGAAGCCTCGCCCTATTCCACATCTACATACAAGAAACCATGATCATAACTTTGACATGACATTTACTTCTAAGAACACTGTGACATATACGCCATCTAATAAAACGTGTTGAATAGATTAGCATGAAAGTGGTAGTTTTTTTTTTATCATACATCAGACAGTTAATGTTAGGTCGTAATAGACGCTGATTTTTTAAATTCTCTTTTTTTGCTGACGTAAAAATTTAGATTTTGAAAATCTTTTCTGTGTAAAGAGTACTTTTGACCCATCAATTGACTATAACTTGTGAGTATCTTGAAGATATTCTAACCAAGACTCATATTCTCTAAAATTTTAGTTGAAATTGTATGAAAAGTAAAAACTTTATTTTTGAAGGCCATCCTCATAAAAAGGTAATTGAGGTCAAATTTATTGATTTTGTGATTTATAGCTCATTAGATAGAGCAAAGTGTCTACTCTCAAATACATCATGGTTTACTGATTTTATGGTGACATTTAAAATTATCACATAGGTTTTTTCGAATCTCCCCAAAAAAGAAAATGACGTCTTTTTTTTTTTTTTTGTAAAAACTTTGATTTTTAAATAGACATCGGAATCGTACATCGCTAAGTATGATAAATGAATAAAATACTCAAACTACATTATGGAATAAAATTATTAAAGATTGATTAAAGACTAAATCTATGTTGACAACCAGTATCGAATAGACTATCAATCACTGTTTAATTTGTTTTCTAATAACCTTTTCTTTATCATATTCTCAATCATGATGACTACAACATATTTTATATAATTCGAAAACACTACTTCTTTATGATATACATTTATTTATAAGTTTTTTTTTTTTACATAAATTATTTTTGTTGCTATCTCGGTGAGCGTAATGTCTATTTTTAAGAAAATAAACAAAAAAAAATCTATTGTATATTTTATATGCATTTTTCTTACAGTGGGGTTTTTTATTGTGATGTCTACGTGTGTTATTGATTTCTCCGTTGTTTTTTTAGCGTCACATCTTGGCTATATTTTAAAACCAACTCTAGTTGTTTAGTATTTGGAATGGTGGAGAAATTTGAAACATACGGATACCTATATTTTAATCTATAATCTTAAGCGAACTATTCGTCGAGTCAATATATCGAACTGAAACTTTTAATGTAGTGTGCATAGTTCGAGATACATCTTTACTGAAAATTTTATCGATACTCGAAAAACTGATGATATTTGATTTACGAATATAATCTTCGGCATATCGTATTCGATTTTTTCCTATTCGCTATTTATATCGTAAATACATCCAGCAAAAGATAAATTTTCTAGTATCTCATATCCTGAGATATTGAACATTCGAAATTTGATTTTTGTTGAAAAGCCCAATAAAATTTCGATATCTTAAGAACGAAGATCTGAAAAACGATTAGACAATTGAAGAAATTCTCTCGTGAGATAAATATTAAAAAAAAAAGAAACAATGATCATTTAAATTCTTTGTAACGAATCATTTTTCTCTCTAAACATCATAAGATGGTAGATAGTTTATGTTTTCGATGTTTGACAGGTTACTTTATGAAAGATTTGCAATGTATGACATTATTTCGAATGAGATATTTGAAAAGAAAAATAAATTAATTATAAAGAATATAAATGACAGTAAAGTAGGCATACAAAATTATAAAAAATTTATCTTTAAGAAGTTTTAGTTATCAAAACGTAGTTCGTGTTCCTCTCATACCATCTCTATGGGCTCACGAGGAAACAATGTATGTTTGTATGGATTACCCATAAAAGAGGCCCCATATCTTGAAAATCTTATATCTTAAAGAGATTTTACTGAAAACTTTTGAATTTTTGTGTACTCAAAAAGTGAGTACACTCTAGAATCGGTCAGTATGTCCGTCCGGCCGTTTACACGATAACTTTCGAAAGGAGAGTCAGATCATGATGAAATTTTCTACACAGTTCAGTCTTAACAATGTCTCGGTCGAGTTCGAAGATGAGAAGGATCCGTCACGAAATGGCTGAGTTATCGAAAAAATTGTCATTATTGACCAGACCATCCCTGAGGGGGGGTACAGGGATTTTTTTAAAAAAAAAATATTTTTCTCAAAATTATTCACAACATATATAAATCGACTCAGTTTTTAACGCTGATTCCGAATCTGATATTATTTTTGAACCAAATAGTAGCTTTCTAACAAAACATCGCCTGAAAAAGGTCTCAAAATGCACAAAAACTGCATCCAGAAACCAAATTGCCTAGATGTGTCTCAGATGACCAGTAGTTTTGGGGTTTCCCAAATGCCTGATTTTGTAGCTAGTCAAAAGGACTATCGAAAGGTAAAAACCCTAACTCGATAGCTATTAATATTGGTGATCTATTAGGAAAATACTGATGCCTGTATCTATTATATATCTCTTATAGATTGATGAAGTTGCTTACGATCGTAATCCTGCTAGATACAAACGCAAATCCATTCAAAAATAACTATTCTTACCCAATTTTCCAAGCTAAACACGAATCTGAACTCAATTCCTGTGATTTCTAAAGATATAATATCACTGTGAGAGTAGAGTCAGTGGTCACCGGATAGAGTCGCATACAGTATGGTCCATGGTAACTTAGCACGTCTGTATTTTCTCCTTGCAATTTAGTGATAAAAAACACAGTGAATATACCTTTTCACTTTTTGAAGTACACATAACAATCGGATTTAAATCCGAGGTTTTCGCATTTATTTCTTATGGAATCTATTCCAATTGAGTTCTCTATATGAATAAAGTTTCAGATCAAAATACGAAAAAATCTAGAACTTCTAGAATATTTCAATAGGAACCGAAATTCTTTTAGAATTTTTATTAGAACACTATGCAATGTCTATAGACAATAAAATCATTGAAAATGGAAGAGAACATCTAAGAACCTTCTCTCGTAAGTCGTTTCTCATTCTAAAATAGAATGTAATATATTATTGAATTACCATTAATATGTACGCCTTTTTTTACTTGTTTAAGACCTATCAAAGCTTCTTCACTTGCTGTACATGTACAAATAACATCGGATTCTTGAAGATGATTATCATTTAAATCTTTTAATATTTCGATATTATTTAATTTTGATGAATATTCTGATTGTAAATTAATAGCATGTGTCATATTTCGACTCCATAAATAAATCTTTACAAAAAAAAAACATGAATTTATTTTCAAAATAAATCAAAATTTGTTTTTTACTTTATTCCATTTAAATAGTTCAGTAAAAACATCAAGATGAGCTCGTCCTTGAACGCCACAACCAAGAATAGTTAGTGTTGCATTCTGTTTTTGGTCATTGTCCCATTTTTTAAATCCTAATAACTAAAATTTACAGATTAAAACCAATGATACACGAAATAATTCAATCATACTTGAGTAGCAAGAAATGAAGCAGTAGCTGTACGTCGTGCAGTTATTTCTTTTGCATCAGCTATCTAAAATATTATAAAATATTAATTAGAAATTTTCAATTATTATTGTCAAACCAGAAGTAAACGACCATTATTTGAATTAAATAATGAAACAGTACCATCAATAGCTGGTAAACTTTCTGGAAAACTTGTTAATGTTTTTACACACATATAACCACGATGAATATCAATACATGGTAAATTTAAAAGTGCACTAGATAATTCGATGATAAATTATAAATGGAAAAAAAATTTCATTTTTCTTACTTTTGTTGATCATTAATAGATAAAACCGAACGTAAAGGTTGTTGAAGTGATGAATCCTGTTTTGAATATCGATAAAGTACATCGGAAAGTACTTCCAATAGACTTGGAAGAGATAAATTCTTTTTTACAGCAAATTCGTCGTAGTACATTTTATTCCTTTCGATTGGAAATCATAACATTGACCAATCAAATGCTTAGTTAAAAACAAATTTCTTTATTTCATTATCTTTTTAATTTATACATTCAATTAAATTTTTCTCAAATAAAAAGTTGTTTTAGATAAATTTTTATTTAAATAATATTGAAATATATTTGTAGATATCGCTACAATCTATTAAATTGACTATTAGTCTATATGAACAGATGGGAAAAATGATGATTTTTCGAGTGCAGTGAAACTCAAAATGATTAGATGAATGTTTCACAGAAAATCAAGTTAAATTTTCTGATTTTGATTATATTTGAATTAGTCTCTGATCACGAAAGATTCTAGAGTTGTTTGAAAAACTACCGCCACCTATAGTAGATTTTCGCAAATATCGCAAGAATGGTGTGTTGTCAGAAACTGCGCTTCACACTTTTAGAATAAGAAAAATAAGCATAATTTTCTGTAAAATTTTCATCCAATCATTCTGAGTTTCACCGAACTCAAAATTACAATACTCTTCATCCCTAGATCACGAACGTACCAGTATAACTTTCTATGAGTCTGAGTCATTACAGTCAATGCAAAAAAAAATAAAAAATAGAGTAAAACACTTTCTAAAAAGTTAAACACATTTCATATGAACTTAAGAATTGTCTGTCTGTTCATCATGGGAGATTTTTTAAAGTTTATGTCGATTAGTTTCATCAAAAATATTGTGTTGCAATTAATTCTTTATATTTCATTAGCAGAAAAATATATGATAGCAATTTTTTATGAGTAACTTAAATAATGTAACAATGGCGTGGAAAAAATCTCTCCAGAAGATCTTGTCATATAAGGCTGACTAATTATGTAACTAATCCTTTTTCGAAATCGTTTACTGAGAGAATAATGCAAGATTATTGTACTTCAATTCTTTAACTATTTGTTATCTTACTAAATGAAACTTTCATCAAAACTTTTACATGTAATTGAAAACTAAGCATATTTGATCAGACTATTTAGAATCGATAAAGTTATTTATTTTTTAATAAAGCAAATTAAGATAAGAAGAATTCATGATTATTATAAAACATTAAAAAAACAAAAAAAAAAGATGAAATCGGATGAGCTCCTTCAACAAAATAAGTTCTTATACTCCAATTGTTACCACATTGAATGACTTTAAATTAACCAAATACTGGTCGATTCTTAAGATTCTCATGTACATCGAGAATTTCATAATCTAAATCATTCAAAGTTGGATTTCGTAATGCTTGACTACGTCCACCGACACTTGTTGCTGATGAACTAAAAAACAAAAAGATTTAAATTTAACTTATATTTGAAATTTCTTGTGTTTTTTTTTTAATCTTACCGTTCATCATCATAAAATAAATCTCGAGCTTTCATTGCTGCTATATCAGCTTGATGTACAACTGATGGAATAGCTTCAGCAGCCGATGATCGAGGATCCGTAAAACATAAATGATATGTTAATAAATGTAATTCATCAGCAGTAAAACCAATATCATCGAAAAGTACATGATAAAGTGATGAATGATTAACACCTTGAAAAGCATAATGAGAATTTAAATAAAAATTATTTTGATATGGATGAACTATTGTTGTATCAATAACAGTTCCAATACTCATATTACTAAATTGTTTTGTTGATGAATTATAATTAAAAAAACGTGTATTATGACGTTTTTTTACAACGATAAAAGTTAACAATGGATGATTAGATTTTTTACCATAAATACCTAAAATATAATTTATAATTAAAATTTATATTAAAATAATTAACTTACGATCGAATGCCTGACGAATTGCAGGAATTTCATGAGCAATAACTTTTCCAAATTGACCATCATCTACGCCTAAATAAAAAAAAAAAAAGTACTTTTTATTAATTATAACAACTCATTAAAAAAATTCAATTGATTTACCATCACGATAGAAAACAACTTTATTTGGTAAGACTTTATTTGCTTGTCGATAATAATCTAATAATTGTTCGACCATATCAGCCATTCCAACAATTGTTTCAATTGAACATTTGCCTTCTTTCGGATACTGCTGACAAACACGTACAGCTGTTGTTGAACATAATGAATCACCCGAACCAACAACAGCTAAAACAAATAAATAGCTATTAGTAAAACTCTTGTAGGATTAAAATATGAAACACTATGTAATCTTAGATGATTAAAATTTTTCGAATCTTCAAGCGAATTTAGGACTAAACTCAACAGAATCTATTGATGGTACTTAGAGGTGTAAGCCGCCGCCGCCGCCACGGAATCGTAGATAATTTTAAGAATTTTTTAGGAGCCGCCGCTGTGAAAAAGTAAGTTCAGCCGGTGCGCCGCCGTCACGAACGAAAGCTGTTTAT